TGAAAACTGCTCTTGTCTGGGCCTCAGACAGCTGCCATGTTAGACCTCCATGGACTCTCCCCAGCATGCGTTCAACGCTGTTGGCCATATCTTCCTTCTTGAACCCTTTCCTCTACCTGTGCCATAATACTGCACTGTCTTTTTTTTTTTTTTTTTTTTAATACTGCACTGTCTTGACTTACCCCCTCTCTCTCTCTGACTGCTCTTCCTCTGTGTGTGTGTGTGTGTGTCTGACTGTTCCTGCTCTCAATCTCTCTTTCTCTCTCTCTCTTTGATTCGGCTCTGTCTCTCTCTGACTGCTCCTGCTCTCTCTGTCTTTAGCTCTCTCTCTCTCTGACTTCTCTTGCTCTCTCTCTCTCTCTCTGCTCCTGCTGTCTCTCCCCAGTAGAAAATACTGGAAGCTACAGAGTCCTGGGCCTTCTACCCATCTCTAGTTGCATTTTTCCCTGCCTGATCTCATCCAGACCTAAGTTTTAAGTAATCCTTCAGCCCCGGACTCCAGATGTCCATCTCTAGCCCTGACTTTCCCTAAGTTCCAGGCTCACATGTCCAGTGCCGTACCTGCCACCTCTTCCTGATCTACAATAGTTATCTCTAAATCAATATATTCAAAACAGAACCACAATTTGCCTGGCTATGCAAGTCGTCTTTAAGACCATCATATACCTGGCCTCGACATTGTACAACTCCTCGTATTCAACCCAAAGCCAGCACTGTTGGATCTGCCTCCAAAACATATCTTGAATGTGTCTGCTTTATCCGTGCTCACTGCCAGCCTGCTTCCATCCACCATGTTCTCTGACCTGCGGTAGCATAACACAGGCGACCTTGTTGCTCTCTCCCCAAGATGAGTGATAGTTTTTTTAAAAGATTTTATTTATTTCAGAGAGAGAGAGAGTGCACAAGTCGGGGAGACAGGCCAAGGGAGAGGGAGACGCAGACTCCCTGCTGAGCAAGGAGCCTGATACGGGGCTCGATCCTAGGACCCCAGGATAGTGACCTGAGTGGAAGGCAGATGCTTAACCGACAGAGCCACCCAGCTGCCCCTGAATGATTTTTTTTAAAACCTAAATCATATAATCATATAATATCAATCCCCTGCTTAACCCCCTTCAGTACCTTCTCTTTTATTTTAGAATAAATTCCAAATTCCTTACTGTCACCTACAAGACCCTCATAATCCGGCCCTCCTTGTCTGTCTGCCTTATCTCAGATGATTCTCTCTCTCTCTCTCTCATTTCCTTCTAAACTCGCTGTTCTTTCTGGCCCTCCAATGTGCCAAAATCTCTTCCTCTTTCTCCTGGAAAACTCCAGCTCTTAGCATGACTATCTGCTGCTCCAACTTTTAGGTCCCAGCTCAAAAGTCACCTTCTAGAAGCCTTCTCTGACCTACAGCCACCACATCCCTCTCCAGAAAACTTTCCACAGCTGATGCAGTCACCATCTATTAACTTTTCTGTCCTCCCCCACCAGCATGTAAGTTCCTGGAGAGCAGTTTTTTTTTCTCTCTCTTTTTTTTTCCTCCTCTATCCCCGGCACGTGGACTATTCCTAGCTAAATAGCTCTTTGGTTTCATTAATCAAAGAACACCAACGGCAGAAAGGTTTGGAATGAAACAAAAAGTGTTTTCATCGATCATGACTTTATTTCCAAGCAGACATTTGGACTCTCAGGTGCATGTAATTTCAGTTTGAGTCATTAATTCCCTTAAGTGGATGAGATTTTTTAATAGTTTAGCTTCATTGTTTGAAAAGTGGGTAAAAAGCCCTCATGGTGTGAGGGTTTGTTCATTAAGATTGTTAAGTCATTCTCTGCTCGGAATACAAAAGACCAGGCAGAGTTCCTTCCTGTGAACCTTTGGGGCTGAGGCGTAGGATTGAAACTCTCCCCTTTTGGTTCACCCTACAGCCCGTGAGTTTAGTTCAGTGGCCCAAGGAGATCAGGGAGCCTGAGATTTGTGAACTGTCCCCTTAGAATAAACGCAGACTCATCAGGATTGTGTCCTTTCGAGTCACCTAAGTATGTGTTTGCTTCCCAGGTTCCTTCACACGCTTCTTCTCCAGCTCCAGCTCCTGTGTAGCTCAGAGCAGCCTGCGGCCAGCATCCCCCAGCTGCTGGGGACACCCAGGCCCTGAGGCGGGAACGGCTGGCTTGTGGGGTCATGAATGCCAGCCCACAAGGCAGAGCCTCGGGGACACGGCAGGCTGCCTGGCTCCTGCTGTCGCTAGTCCACTCAAGCTGACCTGCAGCCCTCGGCTGCTATGATGTTCCTTCCACACGCCATGCTGAAAGTGGCCATTCCCCAGCACCCAGAAATACTCCTCAGTTCTGGAAGTTTCCAAGTGTCTTTCCCGTTGAGAAATGTATAAAAAGTCTTCAGGGGTGTGGGGAGTGGGCAGTGGTAGGATCAGGATACTAATCCCATTGGTAATACCTAAATGAGTCATCTTCTAAATGTGTAAATGATTGCCCTGTAGAACAGCGATGTACTACTGGTGGGCCCCACATGGGCTTGATGGCAGAAATCCTACTGGACCTGTAAACAAAGCTGCATCAATCCCATCACTTCAGGGAAGGTGTCACCGCCACAATGTTTATTGGTAAGAGTAGGCTTATGTTGGAACAGCCGATTTCCAAACCTCAGTGGCGTAACACCATAAAGGTTTATTTATTTCGGATGTCACAATCCAAGCAGGTCAGGTGGGATGGGCCCACACAGTCCTTCAGGGACCTGGGCTCCTTCTTCCTAATGCAGGGATTCTTAACCTGCAGTCCACAGTCCCCAAAAGGCTGGACAGAATTCAAGAGGACCTGTGAACTTGGAGTGGGAAAAAAGTGTATTTTCACTGTCATTAAACTCTTAACTATAATTCAGCATCTCCTGCAGGTATGAATGATAGCATAAAAGCACAATACTAGTGCCTCCTGTGATTTTACTACCAATAGAAAGCATCAGTAGTTTCATATCCCATTATAATTTTAGCAGAAACCATGAAATATCATTTAGGCTTAACACGACTTTGAAATTATGATAGTTCTTAAACTTACTTCAAGACCTTGTTATTCGATATGTTCATTAAAGAGTACTAACCATATCGCAAAATATTTTTAATATTTGGGTAACTATTTCAATACGCTTGCTCTTCTTTGTGTTTCTCTGTGTTTTTTTTCATAAAAAATACTAGTTTCCACAGGTGCATAGCAAACAAAAGATTAAGAACCCCTGATCAAGTGGGTCCCCTGAGTGGTTGAGTTTCCTCAGCATCTAGTCAGCGGCCAGGGCTGAAAATGGCACTGCCCCGTAGTTTAGAGACGAGTCATAGAAGGAGTAGCTATCACTTCCGCTCACAGGCTGTTAGTGCTAAGTCAGTCACACGTCCCCACCTGACAGCAAGGGGGGCTGGGAAATGAGGTCTCACTGTGTGTTCAGGATGAAAAGGAAATGGGGCTCGGGGAGCACACAGAAGTGACCGTCACCAGGCCTGTGGGAATAATCAGCAAAGTGGCAGCATCCCAAGGACAAGGGCCTTCTCTGGAGAAAACTAATCTCCTGTCAAATTCATTTCAGGAAGTCTAATCCTAGCAATACCATAACAATGACCACTTGTTGAATAATTACTCCTGTTGGTGTTATGCCAAAGGATTCACTTTCATGACCTCGTTTAATCCCATAATATCCCTCTGAGACAGGTACTGTTATTGTTCCTACTTACTAAATAAAGGAGCCAAGGACTTGAGTAAGTCCAAAATCAGTGCTCTCAGGGATGCCCAGGTGGCTCAGACATTAAGCGTCTGCCTTCGGCTCAGGTCATGATCTCAGGGTCCTGGGATCGAGCCCCACATTGGGCTCCCTGCTCAGCGGGAAGCCTGCTTTTCCCACTCCCACTGCTTATGTTCTGTCTCTCACTGTCTCTCTCTCTCTCTCTGTGTCAAATAAATAAGATCTTTAAAAAACAAAAAAACAAATTCACTGCACTCAGTCACTGTGCTGGACTATTTGGGGAAGACACTGAGACCCTTGAAAAGAAGGTGTCATTGTGTCCTGATAGAAAGGGGCGGTTCCTGGTGCTCAGCTCCCAGCATTCCCAGCTTTGCTAGAAGCTGGTTTATTCACTTTCTATGGTTTTTTACTGGTTTACTGGTTTACTGACACTTTCTATGAATCTGTAAATGATGGCAATGATAGTATCTGTTTCTTAGAATTAAATGAGGTAAACTATTGTAACAGCACTTGGCATGTGGTAAGTGCACAGTGGATGTTAGATACCGTCATTAACACCTAAATGACATTGTGACCACCGTAATGAAAGTGAACTAAATACTCAGGGCAATTTAGAATCCATGAAGGTTGCAGAAAAATGTCTGAGGTCACCAAGCTCCTCACCAGCTGGCGGAATAGGGGGGTTCCCTAAAATGGTATGCTGCATTATGTCAAGATGATGGGAAGTTGTTACCTTTTAAAAAAAAAGATTTATTTATTTGTTTGTTTGTTTATTTATTTATTTATTTTGGAGAGAGAGAGTGCAGAGTGGAGGGGCAGAGGGAGAAGGAGTGGAAGAGAATCTGAAGCAGAGTCCCTGCTGAGCACCTGGTCCAACGTGGGGCTCAATCCTACAACCATGAGATCATGACCTGAGCCAAAATTGAGTCGGACACTTAGCTGAGTCACCCAGGCACTGCAATCTGTTACTTTTCTTTTTCTGGTGGGGGTGGGGGGTGTTTATTTATTTATTTGAGAGAGAAAGAGAGAGACCACAAGCAGGAGGGAGGGGGAGAGGAGAGGGAGAATCAGGCCTCCTTTCCTGAGTGGGGAACCCAACACAGGACTCGACCCTAGGATCCTGGGATCATGACCTGAGCTGAAGGCAGATGTTGAACCAACGGAGCCATCCAGGCGCCCAAGTTGTTCCTTTTCTAACGAAGGGGAAAAAATGTGTTGGGTCGGCAGAAAATGCTGATGGGCTAGTTTTCATTTTAATGTAACTTTCTCCTGTTTACAGAATTCTATGAAGGTGATGTTCAAATGCCTCTGGAAGAACTGCGGGAAGGTGCTGAGCACGGCGGTGGGCATCCAGAAACACATACGGACCATTCATCTTGGGTAAGGCAGTCCTCCCCTCAGGGCTTGCTTTGGCCGCCTTGAGCTCCATCGAGGGCCACCCACACTAAGAAATGACACAGGAATAGAGACTGGGCCTGCTTGATCTTCCTAGTCCCTGCAGGGATGTCCACTCCGATCACGCAGGCCAGCATGGCACAGTGGGAAGAATGTGGATTTAACCTTGCAAAGCCTCCCCAGTTTACTTGCTGAGTGACCTTAGGCAAGTCACTGCTGTGAGCCTCCGTACCCCCGACAATGAGACCAATAGTAAAATCAGCCCTGTGTAAGGGTCCAAATATAAAATATGTGTGAGAGCGGTCTGAAAAATATAAAATGCAAGGGTAGGACAGGTTCCTTGGAGCCCCTGAAATTGTCTGTCAAATTAAATATGCATTTTTTCCCAAGGCAGAGTATTCATGACTTTGAGCCTCAAAAGCATATATATGGCCTTAGAAGGGCTTAAGAACCACTGTGTCAATCAGTGCTGTGGTTTCTACGCTTACGTTAGCTGATGAGTTGGCTCCATCATTTTCTGTTGCTCAAATAAGCCCTTTATGTGTCCACTCTATGCTTTTCCCCGTGTTATGTAAAAACCTTTCTAAGGAAAGAGAACACAAAGTTTCCAGCAGCGGCTATGAAGGGGGTCCCACCTGCGGGGCAGTGGAGGTTCAGCAGCCTTCTCCCTTAGTCTCTGGGTCTCTCCTGCCCAGGGACATCGGATGTGGAAGCACCTCGGGAGGCTGTATGGTATAACCAGTGTGTATAAGGCAAATGCAAACGCATGACCAAGTCCCCAAATGGTTGGACAGAGGAGTCCTTTCAACAAGGTGATGTTGAGAAATAAACACTAGAGTCACCCTGCCCAGCAAGGGACAAATTTAGAAAATTCATCATCCATACAAAAGTGGTATAAAAAGAAAACAAGGGATGCCAGGGTGGCTCAGTGGGTTAAAGCCTCTGCCTTCAGCTCAGGTCATGATCCCAGGGTCCTGGGATCGAGCCCCATATCGGGCTCTTTGCTCAGCAGGCAGCCTGCTTCCTTCCTCTCTCTCTGCCTGCCTCTCTGCCTGCTTGTGATCTCTGTCTGTCAAATAAATAAAATCATAAAGAAAAAAAAAGAAAATGAAAATGGGTTCTAAGGTGACTCGGTGGCTCTGTGCAGGTGGGCTCCTTCAAGGACTATAGAGAGAAGCAGGGATCCAACACGCTTCCCCGTAGTGTTCCCGGTTTGGCGACACAGCTAGACCCTTCCAGAGGATAGCACACAGAAGGTTCCAGAGCACTGTGGGCATGGTGCAGCAAGGCTGGGCTTCTGCTCCCCTTGCCAGAGGGGCTGTCTCCCTTCACCCTCCAAGAAATACCACACCAAAACCCCACAAGGCAGAACACCCTCACTCCTGTTCCTGAGGTCTCCTGAGAAGGAAATCCTGCAGTGTCTCCCCTCAAACCTCATTGTCAGGACCACTTGTAATGTAAATAGCTCAGTTATTTAAAGGTTTAGGGGAAAAAACTCCCGAAGCTATAATCAGGAGTGAGGGTGTTTGTTTTAAAGTCCATCTGCCCAGAAAACCGAATCCTATTGAGTACCTCGAAGAAGCCTGCCAAGGCTATGTATTTATAGACGGTAAGTGGCATCTCACGATTTGTCTCTGAGCTCCCAGGCTGCTCTCACGGTGGGTAAAATTCAAAACGCAGCCGCTACTATTGGCTTCCCTAGGATTCCCTTTTTACACTGTGCTCTTAAAATTGCCTTGGTGAATTAGGATTCCCAGCCCTGCCAGCCGCCGCCACGGGGTGGGCCTGGGAGAGCGGAGCTCCGAGGCCTGTCTGTGTGAATCCGCAGCCCGGGGCCTCAGCTCTCCTACCGGCTGGGAGAGGGAAATCACCTTTGCTTTAATCCATGAGCTCAATTATGTGATATAAGATGATGGAATGTTTTTAATGAATGTTGGCTGATGGAGAGAGAAAGGGAGCATACCAAAGCCCCCCCTCCCCAAAATATGTATCACATCTGATACGGCTGCAGTACACACCAAAAGTATAAAAAATATACTGCTTTTCTCTTCAATGTCCCTGCCCTCTTGTACAGCAGGGGCTGATCCTGATTTATCCCCGTGTGGGACACACGATTTCCCCTAGGCCTGTGTGTGTCTATTAGTAGCAACTCAGCCTGCCCTTTTCTGGAAAGGAAGTGGGGACAGGAATAGAACAGGGGCACATTCTTGGGCCCACTCTCTGGGGTCTTTAATGGTATGCTTGTCAGAAAGCCAAACCCTGCCAGACCTGGTACAGTACAGAGACACCTCCCCAGACGCCTGGGCCTGAGAGCTCAGGGGAAATGGGACAAGGCTGGGAGAAGCTGCGGATTTGACCAGACAGAAAGGCGGAGGAGAGGGCTTGGAAGTGGGGGGTGGGGTGGAGTTTATTCCAAGTGAGTGATCTACTACTGCTGGATATGAAATTTGGGGGTACCTCATGGATGGGAGTGTACAGAGGCCATCCTATAAAACCAATTTGCTTAAAAAAAAAAAAAGATTGCTAGATGTGCACCACTTGTCCAGAAATTAACAAATTGAATAAATCTTTTCTAAGGTGATGGACAGGTGAACTAAGCCTGGGTGGCTTAGTTCATTAAAGATCTCACTTTGGCTCAGGTCATGATGCCACGGTCCTGGGATAGAGCCCCCCACCACCACAATCAGGCTCCCTGCTCAGCCAAGAGCCTGCTTCTCCTTCTGCCTCTGCCCCTCCCCCACAGCTTGCACCCTTTCTCTCTCTCTCTCTCTCTCTCTCTCCCTCAAATAAATAAATAAAATCTTAGGGGGGAAACAACAGGCTTAAGAAAAGTCATCTAACTAAAGTAAAAAAATAGTTTTTTTAAATAAGGTGCTGATGGGACACCTGGGTGGCTCTGTCCATTAAGCGGCTGCCTTCGCTCAGGTCATGGATGAGGGATGGAGCCCCGCATCCAGCTCCTTGCTCAGTGGGGAGCCTGCTTCTCTCTCTGCCTCCTCTGCCTGCCACTCTGCCTGCTTGTGCTCTCTCTTTCTCTGACAAATAAATAAAATCTCTTAAAAAATAAAATAAAGAGATGGACAGTTATTTTATTTTACTCAAAACTTTCTGTTTGAGTAAACAAAACAATTGCCCATGTCTCAGGGAGAACTTTGAAAACACCAAGAAGATATTTCTCTGGGTGATAGTAAAAATTGAGGCCTTCTAACTTCAACTTTTTTATTTTATTTTATTTTTTAAAGATTTTATTTATTTATTTGACAGAGAGAGACACAGTGAGAGAAGGAACATAAGCAGGGGGAGTGGGAGAGGGAAAAGAGTTGAGCCACCCAGGTGCCCTCAACTTTATTTAAATTTAAATTTAATTTAATGTAAATAGTTTTATTTAATTCAATAAACACTCAGTGTTTCTGATGTGTGAAGCACACATCTAAACCCTGAGTATTTATTAATACACACAAAATTCTCACCAAAAGTTCTCATAAAAGCAGGCACCACGATTATCCCCATTTCGTCTGTGAGAAGCCAGAAGCCCTGGGCCATGGAAGCTGTCCCGTCCCACTCATGGCTGAAAGTGTCAGGATTCGAACCTGGGGAACCTGACTCCAGGATTAATGCTGATAATCACTGTGTTACAAGGGCCTCAGCTTCATCCATTCAACCTTTAATAGGCACCTACTGTGTGCTGGATACATCGATATGTGTGGAGGGACACAGAACGAATAAGACATAGCCCTGGAGAATCCCAGTCTTAGGGAGGTGATGAGGGTTTAAAAAAAAATTACAGAAATGTGCCAAATAAATAAGTAAAGTGAATTAAATAAAATGAATACACTCCCAAGGGAGCATAGAGGACCTCACAGTGAGGAGTTATGTCCTGACTCCTAACCTTCAACATACAACCCAGATTGGACGTCTGGTCACTTCCATTGCCCAGACACTGCCAACGGTCATCTGGATGATCACTGGCCACAGCCTCCTTGCCCACCTCCCGCTCTTGCCCCCGTCCCCTGTCTTCCAGACACTCACCAGAGTGATCCTAAAGCACCTTAGATGCTCCACAAGCCCCCTGGCTTCCATCGCACTGAGAACAACGTGCAAAGACATTCCGAGGCCTACGAAGCCCTGCGCCATCTTGCCTCTGTCTCTGTTCTCCCCAGCGCGCTGAGCACCAGCCACGGGCCTCTTAGCCGTGGGTAGAAAACACCGGCCTGCCCACCCCAGAGCGGCGTGCTGCTCTCTGCTGCGTGATCTTCCTGTGCAACCTGGGGCGGGTTTTTCCCTCACGTCGCTCAGGCCCCTGCCCACATGTCACCTCTTCAGAGAGACTTCTTCTGAACACTTTCTTTGAAACAAATGCCTTCCTTTCAGCAACTCCCCTGCTAAAGGACGCTGAATCTGCTTGGTTTTTCTCTCTGGGATCTACCACTGATATATTAAATATACGTTTCTTTATGGGTTCCGTGTCTGCCTTCCCCACTAGAGGGTCAGTTCCATCAGGCCGTAGCCTGTGCTTAGTTCACCATATCAGGAGACCCTAAAAAGCTCCTGGACATCACAGATTCTCAATAAATTGTTGAATAATTGATTGGATAAATTGTTTTAAGAGGTCAAGGAAGGCTTCCCTTGAAAGTGGACAGTTGAGTGTTGCAGAATAAGTCAGCATTTGCGAGACAGAGAAGACCAAGGAAAAGCATTCCAGACAAAGAGAATAGCAAGTGCAAGATTTTGAGGCAAGAAAGCTCACTGGGTTGGTATAATCGTTTTGCTCTCTTTTGCCCTAGGCGTGTTGGGGACTCCGACTACAGTGATGGCGAAGAGGACTTTTACTACACTGAGATCAAGCTCAACACAGACTCAGTGGCAGATGGACTGAGCAGCCTGGCCCCTGTGTCACCGTCTCAGTCCCTGGCTTCGCCTCCCACTTACCCCATCCCAGATTCAAGCCGAACAGAGACTCCTTGTGCCAAAACTGAGACTAAACTGATGACACCCTTGAGCCGCTCAGCTCCCACCACCCTCTACCTCGTGCACACCGACCATGCTTACCAGGTGACGGGCGGAGGACCGTGAAAGTAAAGTTTGACCCCCCCAACCAAATGCAGTTGCATTCTGCCGTGCGAGGAAAGGGTTACCTGGTGGAAAAACAGCATCACAGAAGTAGCCCAATAGCCGAGTTCGTTTTTTCTTTTTCTCCTTTTAAAGCCCAGATCTCACACAGATGGGACCCTGTGGGCTCTTAGATTTCCCAGTACTGATTGAAGATCCAATCCCTTAGATGTTGTCATAGGATTAAAATCCTTTATATTGTAAAGATCTCAGAAGGGTGCCTGGCACACGGTATAAGTATCTGTTAAACAAAAAATAAAATAAATGAAAAAGTGAGCACTGAACATCTTTGGCACAATGACATAATTGCCACATACCCCAAATCTGGGACTTCCTACCCCGCCTTCTAAAATGGTAACTACACCTCACAGATAGAGGAGATTATAGTGTTCCCCAAATCAACAGTGTCAGCATCACCTGGGAACTTGTTAGAAATGTAAATTCTTGGGACCACTCCAGACCTGCCAGGCAGAAGCTGGTCTGCTTCACTGGAAAGTCTGATAAGACCTTACAGACCAACCCTGCAAAGCTCCTTTGTCCCCTCAGCAATTATTAACTCTTGTAAACGTTGATTTGTTTTAATGACATTTCAAAACATTCAAGTTTTAGGAAAACATTTTTTCCATAATTCTCAATCACTTTATGCAACTTAAAAAAAAAAAAAAAATCTCCTGTCTGTGTTCTCCCACCCTGGTTTTATGAACACTTTCCATGTAACTGAATAGTTTTCAGTTACATCGAAGCATCAATGTTTTTTAATCATTCTGTTATTGTTAGGTATCTACTCCTTAGTCTCTCCAGTTTCTTCCACTGTCATTAGTAACTCTACTATGCACACCTCTGTGCCAGTAGCTTTTTCCCCCCCCTTTAAATTCCCAGAAGAGTAATTACTGAGTCAGAGGATATAACATGAACAGCTTATGGCTCTTGCAAAGTATTTGCCAAAATATTTTCCAGCAATGCCAGTTATAAAACCACAGACACCAGAAGCTACATCTATAATTAGATGTAGAAACCTGTGGAAGAAACAACCAGCCACTGATTTACTAGACTTACGCTCAAGAGCTTTGGAATGGAGCTAATTATTAAATTAGTTGAGGCAATAAATTTCATTCCTGACTCTTGCTATGTTGGTCGAAAAGAATAAATAATTTCTTTGCTCTTGTTTGTCAGTGTTGCGTTTAGAAACACGGGCTCGAAATCATGGGCCTGAACCAATTTCAGCTATGTTGTTCATCTCTGTGAGAGCTGGAACACACAGTAGGGGATCTAAAAGGTCCATTCCAAACCATGTATTCACAATATTGGGATTGTTCTATTTATAGACATTAAAAGTGATCAGCATGGAAAATGTTAAAAACACAAGCAAATGAAGAAAATTCATCCCCTAATCCCAACAAAAAGAAGCCCCTTGGTTAATATTTTTTGTATGTCCTTCAAGAGTTTGTTCTATATATGTATACCCATTTAAAAAAAGGGGGGGTGGAATTTATTGTAATACTGTTTTTCTTGTGCTTTGTTTTTGCCACTTACTATATCATGAACATTTTCCCTTGCCAATAACTATTCAACAATGTCAGGCTCTGTGGATTTATCATGATTTATTTACCCACTTTCCTATTATTAGACATTTGCATTTCCAGTTTTTAGTACCCTAATACATAGCTCTGCAATGAACATCCTTGTATCCATTGCTTTAGAATTAATTCTAGAAGTGGAATAGCTAATATACAGAATACTAAGAATTTTGATATATTTTGCCAGATTGCCTTCCCCAAGCATTGTACCAATTTACCTACTTGGCATCCCTGTATAAGATTGTTTCTTTCCTAATTTGATAGTGAAGCAATGTGTTTTACACACAGATATGTCCTAAAATAGGTATGTGTATGTATAACAAAATTTCTCTTCAGAAACCACCAAAAACCTTCTGCTTTTATTCCTTAGATAGCTTGCTGAGATACATAGAAAGTTTATTTCTAGCTATTCTCTTGGACTATGTTTACCTCCTCCCATTGGATAATTAGTCTAAGATATTAATCCAGCTGAAACCATTTTGGGGGCCCAAGTTAGGCAATGATAGCTTAGGACTGTGAGGAGAAATGTTGTTTCATAATGATGTTCTCCGTTTTCTGTTGGACAGGCCACGCCCCCTGTGACCATTCCAGGATCAGCCAAGTTCACCCCCAATGGCAGCAGCTTCAGCATTTCTTGGCAGTCTCCTCCGGTTACCTTCACTGGCATTCCAGTAAGTAGAAAAACAAAAAGCCAGAAATCTGGTCATCACTGCATGTAAATTTGGGGAACAAATTATAAAAACATGCAAGAAAAAGACAAAACTCAGAATGCCAGAAGTACTCTATTCCTTAAGTGACACTTGTAAACACCAGGGTGCATGTTTCACGGTCCAGCCCAGCCCAGCTTGTCTGTGGAAAAGGTGTTATGAGGAGCATTCGAGAAAACTAGGGGAGTTGCAGCTGCTGATAAACAACTTGTTAAAAATGTGTCAAGATTTTTTTGTGTCGGTGGTGTATTTGTATGTTTCCAAAAGGCTTTATAGAATTATTTTTTGAACTCGGACGCTGAACATAAAAGAAAAGGACCCTGTACGTAAATGATATTTATCGTTATGAGTAACTTGATAAAATTTATGACTTTGAAATTATTGTTTGTAGGTGTGTCATTTTGAAAGGTTCAAAAAAAACCCCCATAAATTGAAATCATTTTTTTTTTCTTCCAAAGCTTGAATAATCCATGCTGATAGGCACTCTGAAAATAAGAGTGCTGAACTATGCAATCAGGTTTAAGTGGTATATAAGCATTGATTTGACATGGTAAATTATTGCTGTCTGATAAATCACCTTGAATTAACTTGATACCTAACCATTCGTTTAAAAATGTATATTGGGTCTTTTGTAGCTTATCACAGAATATCCACGGACCTACACACTGTTGATGCCCACAGTGGTTTGTAACTCCTGATAAGGTTCACAAAGTGGCTTATGATAACAGACACTAACCCTATCTTCTCCTCTCCACCCCTCTCCCCAAGGACCTCACAAAAGCCTCTTATTGTCAACCAGTGGCGACTTTCAGAGGTTTCCAGAAAATACTAAGGCCTCCTACAGCACTGATAAAAATGGAAGCAGCTCAATCAATGATGCTGTGCTCTGTCGATGAATACTTGTTAAATTTCCTAGGAGAACAGCCAACAATAAAAAGCATCCCACTAGCAGCAATTTGGGAATTTGTGGCTTCCACAATATTCCATATTTTCTGGAATTTGGTTTTTAAATAACGATCGAGGATCTAGAGTAATTATGAAAGTCACCTGCTTTGTCAAATAGTAGTAACGGCTGGCAAGTCTGAAGGACAGAGAATGCAAGGAGGGATCTTGTAGTAGACATTAGAAGAGAGCACGTAGGTATCCGCTTTGTTTCTGTCAAGAACAATGATGAGCTGAGAAGGGTTGTCAGAGGTTAACCATCAGTCCTTTGGGGGACTTCGACTTATTTGTTTTATTGATAGACATAAAAAGACCTGGAGTGGCTCTCAGTATCACTTTCGAGACAAGCCCTCTAACCTAGAAAGGCAGCTACAATTACAGGATCATAGAGACCCACTATTCTAAATCCCGTTAATTCCAATCTTTGAGAATTTTCGAGAGCATACACCGTATTTCTCACCTGGAGTACAAACAAGCGTAGCGTCTGGCTGGAACAGCCCAGGTCAGACTCCATTTCAGATTACCTCTGTGACCAACCAAAATGGAATTTCTTTCCTTTTGCTTTCTTAATTAAATCATCTCCTTCTGATGTGCAGAGAAATCACTGAGTGTTGGATGACCAGCTATGTGTCTCCTAAAGTGACTAAATGCTTTACCCAGTAAGATACCAGCCAGGATACCCTCTACTCCTTTTTTTCCAGGAGCAAGATCTTAACACTCTTCTCTGTTGTGAATACTATGTATCTCTGTTCTCACCTCAATGCCCTAATTGTTCCAAGTCCCTAACTTCATCGGTTCCCAGGGACAGTCTAGACTGGAGCTTTGACAGAAAGTGTATAGAGTGGTTGGGTTAACTAGGTATCCCACTAAAATCCTACTTGTGCTTCTAACGTCTTCTTTCACCATGGAATTCTGCATCTATCTGGTTGTGTCATGCTTCTGCCAACACTTTAAACTGTTTTAGCTGCCATTCCTATTTCAAGGGAAGGGAATGCTATTTTCCCAGGCTTCGTTTTACCCTAGAGAAAAGGCTCGCTATTAAAAATGTTCTTTATGTTATATACTGTCTATTGAGGCTTAAAAAAAATAGGTGATTACTGGTTGCCTCCTTCTTGTGGGAGCTGGATTGTACAGTGCCACACCACAGAAGCATACAATTGGTACGTGTCTACTGACTGGGTGCCAACGACTATCCCCAAATTCTCCAGAAATGCTGTCCCCATCCCTAGGAGACATGGAGCCAAGCAGACTCTAAGAGCGTATGAATTCCTACCTTCTAAACTAGTGTAATAGGGTTTTGAGACAGAAGCTCTAAACATTTTAAATTATAATGAATTAGTATTAGCGCAGTCCTCAACTGTAGCCAAATGGAAGAACAAAGCAGTTCCCATTGTATAAAATGCTCTTTAAAGAACACGTTTCTCTTTGTACTCCAAAGCAAATACCCTGAGCTTGTCAACCCCTTTTAAGGTGTGCTTTTTTCCCCCTACATCTTGGAGACCTGGTATTGAAGAAGGGATGCTTTTATATGCTTCCTAGAGAATGAAAATAATCTCTGTTGGGGAAATCCCAAGGTTTGCAGGATTTTATTTATTCATTTGCCTACACAACATTTCCTGAACATTGGGCTTTAATAAGTTCCCTGGGTAAGACGTCTTCCCAGAGGCGTGGAGTGGAGAAGGCTGTTGTGCATAGCTACAAATGTGACTGGAGGGGCAGTGTTTTCTAGCCGAAGGCTGTAGACATAAGCGTAGGGAGAGGACGCTCATTAATTACAGCATTCTTTGAGCTGTTTTTCCCAAATGACCACACCTTTTCTTCTAATTATCTACATTCTTTTCTCTGTCTTTTCATGACAGAAAGCTGAGAGTTCTTGACCCCGTATGAGTCTGCTTATACTGCCATCACAGGATACCATAGACTGGATCACTTTAAGCACCCAAAATGTATTTCCTCACAGTTCCGGAGGCTAGAAGTCCCAGATCAAGGTGCTGGCTAGTTCCTGGTGACAGCTCTTTCTGTGGCTTGTAGAGGGCCACCTTTTCACTGTGTCCTTATATGGCCTTTTCTAGTGGTGGAGGTGGAGGAAGGGGTGCTGGTGGGTGGAGAGAGAGGCCTTGGGTATCTCTTCTTATAAGGACACTAATCCTATTGGATCAGGGTCCCAGCCTTTTGACATCATTTATCTTTAATTACTTCCTTAAAGGCCCCATATCCAAATATAACCACACTAAGGATGAGAGCGTCAATATATGAACCGGGGCCGGGTGGGGGGAGGGGACACAAACATGCAGTCTGTAACAGCCCACACAGCCGAGAGTGAGTCGACCTGCCATCCAAGGGCTATTCCAGGAGGGGGTCAGGCTGAAGGGAGGGTCTCCAAACCTAAAATAGTGTGCTTAATTATCAGACGTTTAGCTGGTTGGTTGGTTGGTTGGTTTGTTAAGAGAGTGAAAGCAAGAGAGATTATGGAGGGAGAGGGAGAAACAGACTCACTGCTGTGTAGAGAGCCCGATGTGGGGCTTGATCCCAGGACCCTGGGATCATGACCTGAGCTGAAGGCAGCTGCCTAACCATCTGAGCCACCCAGGTGCCCCTAGCTGGTTTGTTTTTTATTAACACCTTGAGGGAGGACTCAGAATAGTATAAGAGGTTATAGCCAAGACAAGGAACATCAGCTTCTCCATTTGAGAGACAGAAAATCCCAAAGAAAAGAAATTTCCCCAACCTAGTTACAGAGGGACACAACATTCTTTATAACTGCTCCGGTGTGAGGCTCAGATACAAACCCTGACTCTGGCGTTTGCTGTCTGGCCAGTCACCTGATCTCTCTTAAGCAATGCCCTTAACTTTAAACCACCCCACGGAATTGTTTTGTTTTGTTTTGTTTAAGATTTTATTTATTTGACACAGAGCACAAGTAGGCAGAGCAGCAGGGAGAGGGAGAAGCAGGCTCCCCACTGAGCAGAGAGCCCAATGAGGGACTCGCTCCCAGGACCCTGAGATCATGACCTGATCAAAAGACAGACACTTAACCGACTGAGCCACCCAGGCGCCCTGCCCCCATGGAGTTGGATCATTGAGCCCAGTGCCTGGCATTGGCTAACATTATGGAGCATTCACTATCTTGCTGCCTGTGATGTGTCCCATTGGTGTACTACACCTGTCAGAAGAAGTGTACTCTCCGTATTCAGGACTGACTGATATAACACATACCTACCCAACACAGGGGAGAAATCAGCCATGATTTTTGCAGACTAGTGTTCTTTAAACTCTTCTGAGGTCCCACCTAATCAGCAGAAAAATGAGAGACATGCAGAGGCCTGTGTGCTCCCCAGTCTGTGTGTGAGACACCATTACTGTGTGAGCTGTGCCATTCACAGCAAGCTAGCCAGGAATCGCTCTCCTGAAGCCTGGAGGGACCCAACACCCCCACCCCCATTTAGACCCGTGGGGACTGCCCCAAGCCCTCCACCAAAGCCCATGTCAGGAGCTGAGTCCTTAAGGATTGAAGAAAAACTGTTCTCTGGGGAAAACATAAAATGGAGATTATACTTTAAAAATTTTTTTAATTTATCTATATATTTAGGAAAAATACCATATAGTACTCTCCAAGTCTATTACATGCTTTATAGACCATGCCCCAAAATAGAACTTAGAAACAGTTAAGATATAAAACTAAAAAGACTTAAAAAATTTTAAAAAACCCGAATAGAGATTGAAATGGGGAGACTGCCGGGAGAGATAGCCAACATCGCGCTATGCAGGGCTTTATTTTAGGGCCCATCGTATTTCCATCAGCTCCGCAGCAGGATGATGGAGTGGCAAGAGCAGCGCCTTGACCTCACTCAGAACTATTTCCAAGGTCAACTGGTAGGAGACGACGGCCTGTGTTCAAGTACGGGCCCCACCAGTGACGATGCAGCACAGACCGAACTTCTCCACTGCCTTACCCAGGACTTGGACATGACAACACTACGACTACCCTAGGGTTGCAGTGAAAAGGAAGGCAGATAGCTTTCCGAGGCCCTTTGTTTAACAAGCCCTCAGTAAATTACTACTACCACTCCTAAGAACTCCGGGATGTTCTGCAGGCCGCCTCTTGGCTCGATGTCTAAATTCTCTTATCTACAAAATTCAGATAGCCGCACTTTGCTGGCAGGATGAAAAGAAATGATACCTGGAGTAGCCTGCCCCTCACATTTGCGAGCACTAAACAAATATCCGTTCCCATGCCAGCTGCTCCCTTCCCTTCCCCACCCTCAGCACCTGCTAAAATAAAAAGCTTTCCACCATGATTGTCTTGCTATTAAAAGTCTCAAGGAAAACTCACGAGTTAGGTTGTATTGGTCCTCACACAGAACTGAGTCACAGCCAATGTGTAAAGCGGGTCCTGGCTTCTGCTGTGTTGTGCCCCATAAAACCCAGGCCTGGGGTGGATTGGGAGGGGCTGCTACCAGACAGGACTATGCACGCAGGCCCTGAGCTCCCGAGATAAGAAAGCCATAGTGGTAATAAAGACTGTAGTCAAGGGTTGTTCCTCCATAGTCCTCAAATAGTGTCTTTGGAATTTTCGAAAGCCTGGTCCTCACTCCTTCTTCAAACCAATCACATCACCAGTTTTCCCATTTCAGTAAGTGGCATCCCTCCAGCTGCTCGGGCCAGAAGGTAGGATTCACCCTTGACTCCTCTTGATTCATTCCTGATTCTTCTCAAGATTTGTCTTCCTTTTTTCCTATCCTTCAGCGAGTCCCAGACTCTGCCTGATTCTGCCATGAATCCATCCCCTTCTAACCACCGCTGCCACGCTCTCGTCTAAATCATCTTTCCCCCCAAATGATGCAGAGCTCTTAACTAGACAGCAGGGCTCCTCTCCAGGCTGTCTCCAATTCATTCTCGAAGGAGCCACAGGCATCTTTTTAAAGCATTAATCAGATGTCTCACTTTCTTAAAATTCTCCAATGGCTTCCCTGGCACTTAGAGCAACATTCAATTCAAATTCCTCAATCAGAACCAGGAAGCATGACCTGAATCCACCACTTCCTGTCCTCTAACCCCAGCCTCCACACAGTATCTTCTAGCCCCATTGGCACTCTGCAGTTAGGAGGCCTCTGTTATTGCTCCCCCTTTCTCCAGAGTGCCCTAAAGATAAAAGATAACCTCTCGGGGGGCGGGGGGGCTTCTCTCACTGCCCTAAATAAGTATATGTCTTCTCTCTTAATGAGGCTTTGCCTATTGACCTATTTTACTTTCTTCATGCACTTATCACTAAAATGATCTTACTTGTTCGTATTTATTGTCTGTGTCCCCACTAGAATGTATGCTCCATGAGGACAGAGACTTGGCATTGTTCACAGCTAGGTACCCACATTCTAGAAGGGTGCCTGGTGCATAGTAAGAACTTGAGAAATATCTACTGAATGAAGAGTGCCCTATCATCTCGTATCCCCTCACGTAAAAGGGGTGTGGCCCTTTTGCACAATTTAGAACCTTCCATATTACTACCAGCGGACTGTCATGTCAACTAAACTTGTCCTAGTCATCTCACTAAATAAGGCCATATTCTTGGGATTCTATGAATTCTGTAATAATTTTTAGATTTAATTATCTCAACCATTTAAAACCATTCATATAAGCACATTCTAGATCACCACAGTGACTGTGAACACCTGAAGCACTAATTCCCTCTGGTTTGCTGTAATGCACCCTGGTCAGGGATGGGATATGGGGTAGGTGTCAGGATCGGGGGGGAAGGGGGTGGATATTTTCCTCTTGGAAAGCCCTACATATCTATCCACATCAAATGCATACCCTGAACTCTAAAGCTTTAATTTTTAAAAAATTATGTATGTTAATTCACCTCTTCTGGGCCTCAGTCCTACCCTGCTTTAGCAAAACACTAAAAACCAATGGTACAGAATAATTCAGAATCATGGCAACAGTGGTTTAAAATGTTGGGTTTTCACTTATGTGTTCAATTTTTTCAATTAACATCTAGGAAGACAGCACTGATGTATATTCCTCTGAACTGAAAGAAAATAAAAAATTCCAATACCTGTACTAGAGAAATTCAGTTCTAGAAGTATGCCTTAGGAATGTTCCCAGGACTGTATGTCCCAGGACTGGTACTTCGATGGCCATGCTGGTCTCTAGATAACTAAGTTTCTAAATTCATCGAGTTTCTGCTCCTCTACAAATGGCAATGCTGTATATTTACTTGAAATATCATTTCTCTTTTCTTATAAAAACTCATTTTTCGTAGCTGTTGAGAATCCCAGGTGCTAGGACAATACATAGTGTTATGAGAGCAGATGATGCAAAGGGTCTAGCAAGAAATGTAAGGGGTTTCAAAAGCCAGGGGCCTCCTGTTATTGGGACTGAGAAGCAGAGGTGTGACAGGGTTCAGACACATGCTCTGGCATCAGGCAGAGATCAGTATAAGCACTGGCCCTGCCATTACAAGTTCCATGACCTTGGCCAAGTTCTACAACCTTGGCCCCACGCCTTGGTTTCCTCATCTATCAAGTAGGAACAAGAATAGCACTTGTCACGTGGGGTAGTTGTGACAATTAAAGCCATTGTCCATGACCCTGGCATGCAGCGAGTGCCCAGTAAGTATTTCATGGATGACCTTTGTTCTTGACTTGCTTGGACTCTTTACTTCTAGCCTTTATTCCCATTTGGACCCCACCATCTGCTGTGTGGATGTTTTATGCAAGAAGCCATTTATATAGGAGCTGTAATGATCTCATAAAGTAAACAGAGGGCCGAGGTCCACACTCTGTCATTGCTATTGACTGGCTATATAATTTTAGGTAACTCTCCTAACCTCTCTAGGGATTTGTCTTTTTTTTTTTTTTTAAGATTTATTTATTTATTTGACAGACAGAGATCACAAGTAGGCAGAGAGGCAGGCAGAGAGAGAGGAGGAAGCAGGCTCCCCGATGAGCGGAGAGCCCGATGCAGGGCTCGATCCCAGGACCCTGGGACCATGACGCAAGCCAAAGGCAGCGGCTCCAACCCACTGAGCCACCCAGGTGCCTCGGGATTTGTCTTTTTTAAAGATTTTTATTTTTATTCTCCAGAGAGAGTGAGAGAGAGAGATAGGCAGAGGGAGAAGCAGGCTCCCTGAGGAGCAAGAAACCTGATACGGGACTCGATCCCAGGACCCTGGGATCATGACCTGAGCCAAAAGCAGACACTTAACCCACTGAGCCACTGAGGCATCTCTAGGGATTTGTCTTTTTTAAAAGGTAGATCATGAGGCTTAGACTAGGTGAGACTATATTTTAAGGTTTTGAATATTATTCAGGTGAAAAAATGTTACTATGGGCAACTTGTAATACATATGTGAAGTCATGAGGATTTTTTAAGTATTCATCATTGCCGAGTCTTTTCTGTTCGGGGAGCATTTAAATTCTGCCATGAGCATCACCCCTCTGCATGCTAACAGGTGTCTCTGTGAAGGAAGCCCTTTGTCTCCATGTCTGATGTTGACCACTGCCCATGTGGCAAAGGCTAAACAAAAGCATGGTGAGAAGAACCTACCCCATCAACTTTGTTTCTGTGTCCTTGCCAGGTGTCACCAACACATAATCATCTGGGGGGCACAGGCGAGCAGAGACAGCACACTCACACGGTCTTGTCCTCGCCACCCAGAGGGACCGTCAGCCTGAGGTATGACTGCTTGAAACGCCACCTCATCTCAAAGGAATTAACTGAAAAACAGAAGAACAGCAAGGAAAAGGGAAACCAGAGATACCATCTTCCATAAACTTTCCCTGGAATGGACAAAACGCCCTTTCTTTTGTTGCCATCGTTTTCTCCACCCATCAATTACTAGCGAAGAGTTGTTGTTTGGGACTGGGGACGGCGGCCGGGTGGAGGGGTGCTGGGGTGTGCAGTTTGCTGTAGGTTTTCTCAAGGAATAGGTAATGGTGATTACTGGGTCTATTTAAAACCATATGGCCTTAACCTCTGTATTAAAAGAATTTTAAGATACAGTTTTTAATACAGATCAAGAAAAAACACCTCTGATTTCCCTTAACCAGAACGCTAGAAATTTGAGGAGCAAGAAAACTGGAAACCACATACTTAAAACTTAAAAGAATAAAGCTCTCTACTGGCATTTTTTGCATGTACCTGCTTAATTCATTTTGATGGAGAGGGACATGGCCCCAAATGGAAAAGCAGAAGCTTCAGAGTTACAGTAGCCAATAGTAACAGCTGAGCTTGGTGGCGGGACAACATCCAGCAGGTGCTCAAGTCCGAATCTAGCACGAACCCCTGCTAGGTTTCTTAACTCTGTTTCTCGCTCTTTCGAGGGTTCTCAAGCCTTGCAGAGAAAGGCCCCTGACTGCCCCCCCACAACTAGCCTAACTGCTCCTTGCCTGTCTTGCAGGAAACCCCGGGGAGAGGGCAAGAAGTGCCGCAAGGTGTATGGCATGGAGAACCGGGACCTGTGGTGCACGGCGTGCCGCTGGAAGAAAGCCTGCCAGAGGTTCACTGACTGACCCCTGAGACCACCGAGCAGGCGACCCGCCGCCCCGCTGCCCTTGCCTTCCATGGCAGGCTCTGGAAAAGCGCTTTTTCTTCCGAACAAAACCCACTTGAAGCCCAGGAAAAGCGCTTCCAGGAAACTTGGTGGAATGACAGCAAAAAATAAAATAAAATAAGGTCACCACCCTCACTGCTCTTGCTGAGAACCCAGCATCGGGCAGTTTTATTATTTTTTTTTCCTTGAAAAAAGAACAGTCAGTCTTGGTTTTTTTTCCTGCTGTATGTCTAGGTCTGAAAACTGCAGACTCCGTAGCAACTGAACCAACAAAGCCCGTTTGACCTAGAGAGGAGGCATATTTTGATAAGCTTTCTGAATAATGCCATTTCTGAGATTTTTGGGGACATATTAAAAGAACAAGAAGCTCCACGTTATTCGGTGGCGTCTGTACAGAGGTCAACGCCTGCTTTCCTTGTGAACAGCATTCTCCCCCGACCTCTCGGAGCAGTGCACATCATGGCGTGTTGCCAGAAAGCTCAGCACCTGGGTATCTCTTCTCTGTCTCGTTTGTCCGTCTGTCCTGTTTCCAAGATGGGCCCCGCCTCGAACCGCCGGGCGCTGTTGGCCGGCAGGGCCCGGAGGGCATCCCCTCGCCAAGCGATCACCAGCAGACTTCAGCCCCCAGCTGAGCCCAGGACATCCCGCCGCGGGAACCCCGAGGAGTCTAGCTGTCTCAGAAGCCCTTCCCCGGGGGGGCACCTGGGCCCCAGCCCCGGGCAGGACCCGCGCGGGCGGCGGCCGTCCGGGTAAGCCTCGATGCTTCTTTCAGGGACGCGGGGCAGACGGCTGCCCCAGTCTGTGAGTCACTGCTCATCTGACAGTGTCCTTGCCAGGACAGCGGGTCAGCCGGCCTTCCCTCCAATCTCCACCCCGGGCTGGTTTCAGTAAAGATAGAGAGCTCGGACTGTCCCCGCAGGTTCGCTACGCACCGCGGAGCACACCGCTCACGTCCCCATCTGTTCGGAGAGACGGGCGAGGTCCGCAAACACATCCATTCTGAGTGCACTTTCATAGGTTGTATGCTTTAGCGCGTCCGGGAGATGGGCTCGTGAACGACAGAAACATGATCTAGGTACATGGGAGGTCCCAAACTTTATTTTTCTTATAAATATATTGGAACTGTTGGTTAAGAATTTGCTCAGAGGGGAACATACAGAACACCCAAAGGAAAATGCATGTGGGTATAGGCATTTCTCAAGCTAGTCGGACCAGGGCTCTCACTGTGTTGCTTTTGGCAGACTTCCTAGCCTGCTACGTATGTACGTATGTTGGTTGCTTGCTTGGTCGGTTTTGGTGGTAGTGGTATGGAGGAGGGGAGTATATAAGCTCGTCTACCGTACTCCGGATTGCCCTGCGAATGAGTTCTTTCTCCTATACCTATGCAAAGTAGTAAGAGCACCTTATGGGGGCGCTGTGTCAGGACGGAGAGCCTACGATCAGCCATAGGAATGTTCGATGAAATTGCACAGAAGAAAGTTTAATATATGTTGAGAGATTGTACATACACTTTCGTTTTAAAGCTTTGAAAGAAGTCACCTAGTAATAATATCCTTTTCCTTTTATAATCGAGGGAAATAGAAGGAGTTTCCACAGTATCATATCCACAACCTGTGTGTTCGTATCTTTTTGGCAAATTTATTTTTTAAGCTTTCATCTAACTTTTCAAACATTATTCCTTGGGAGGGATCCTGTTTTCCTCCATTTATTTTTATTTCAACAACGCTTATTTCAAGAGAGCAGGAAAAGAGGAAAAGAGCTTCATTTAATTTCATGTCAGGGTTGCCAATCAGGAGTAGCTATGGCACCAGTTATAATGTATGTTTTCATATTTACAAGGTCAGCCAGGAAAGGGCTTTTTTTTTTTTTTTTTTTTTTTAAGGAGGAAATGTATTTGCATCCTGAGTCCCAGCATGTCTTTTATCCTCCTTGGAATCCTGTTGCTCTACCTGTAGGCACCCTCTGCTATGACTTGATGCTCCAGCCTGAGCTGCGGGTGGGCTGCCTGGCGGCCACAGTAAGTCCAAAAGGGATAGTTGGCTGGGGCACAATCCCAGGGCAGAGGTTTTTCTCTTCAGTGAGGGCTCCCTGGCCCGTGATCCTGGGATTAAGTCACTCATCAAAAATAATCAAAGAGATGAGGGACTAAATCCATCCTCCCCACCACCCAGGACTTTGGAACATAAGGAGGGAGAGGTCTTCGCCAGGGAGCAGTCCTGGAGTGAGGTTTTGTAGCTGGACCCTAGAGATGCAGGCCATGATTAGTTCTGAGCTCTGGCCTGGAGCGGGGGGGAGGTCCAAGCTCAGTCTTTACCTGGTTTGTAGCCAATGCACAGGTGCAAGCAGAAGTTTAGAGCTGAAGGCAAATTGCCTGGGATTTTTTCACCTTTCTAAAGCCTTCTTTACACATACTCTTCTGCATCTCCTACCCACGTAGGGGCTCCTTTCTGCCAACTGGGCGTGATCTCTGTGTACCTTCTTCTCTGGCATCCAGGTGTGCACAGACCCTCAGTAGCTTCCTGCACACACACACACACACATCCATTCTTTGTACCAAGGCATGTCATAAATAGAGAACCACCAAAATTCACCTGGCTGGCCTTGGGGGGTGGGGTGGTGATTAACTTAATGCAAACCACCAAGAAAGCGATGAATTGCAATATACAGCTCTGGTTGTAAGAGCTAAAAATTAAAAAAAAAAAAAGAGCTATTTTGTTATATTTTGGAATTAAATGAAGTGCCAAATTAAGCCCAATATTCATTTTCTGCCATTGCTGTGGTACCATGTTCTTTTGTGTCTTCATTTGGCGAGGGGAAGCAGAGGAGGGTGGAAAGGGCGGTCCCACAGCATGCTGGCTGGTTAACTGAAGCTCCGTCCATCCCAGGGACCTCAGACACCTGCCTGTGCAAAAGGAATGGCAATACATGGATTCTGGACACAAAGTATTTCTAAAGAAGGCGTGCTATAGCCTTTTGACCTTTCTCTCCCTTGATCCCCCTCCCTTCAGAAAATAGTTCTCATGTCTGTCTAAAGAAGGCATCTCATAGTAATGGACGGGCATTCTTCAGGGAGCTACAAAGCAAAGAGTTCATCAGGCTGTAGTATTAAGACTTAGTCCTTCCCAGTGGATATATACCCAATCTGTGGGAAGCAGTGTGACAAGCTGGAGACAACATGCAGGTAGCAAGTGGGTGGGTTGGGGACCAGAGAGATATACAAGAGGTCTATGGACATCTGGCTCCAGCTCATCTTCTTAATGCTGGTCGGCCAGGGGGGACTGTTTCTGGGCACCTCCGAGGGAGCTGTCATGTGGTCCCCTAAGAGTGGCTGCCCGAAGCAAGAAGAGAGCTCCTGGAGGGGAAGCAGCTTTGCCCAGAGATACAGGACCTCACGCACATCTCTAGGGGGCACAGATTTCCCGCCCCCTCACGTGCTGGCGAGTTTCCTCTCTTGGTTGGGAAAAGCCAGTGTCAGGAAGAAGGCAGCTGGTTTCCACCTGAGGGCATGCCCAGCGGCGGAGTGCCTGTCAGCCCTGCCATGCACCAAGGTGCCCTTCATTAGACGATTCCGTGTCCTGTCGTAACTATGCTGTCGATGAAAACTTGCAACAGACAAGGATGGGGGTTACAGTTCTTGGGCTTTCCAAAATCTTTCCCGGGAAATAGTTACATGAATGTTGCAAGAGATTTCTGAAACTGAAATGCCCTCTGTCAGATTTCAAGATCTTTTGAGTTTCAGTTGGCTGTCTCCAGTGTCACGCGAAGCCACACTTCTGAAAGCCACGTTGGGTTCTGAATTTGCCGGCGCAGCTGAACCCATTTCCTCCTCCTTCAGACTTCATCGGAAAAACAAAGAGCAGCGTTCAATTGAGAATGTTGAGAGAGAAGTGGCAAGGATTGTACCTACAGGAGAGAATACCTTGAGAATAGTAGCAAAATACTGTAAATAATATTTATTTCCTCAGGGAAAATTAAAGGGTATGTGAAAGAGAGATCTGGAAGATCTTAAGACTAGAAAGACTTTTATTATCTCTAGAGTCTTTTCAGGTCAGAACAGTTTGGTGTTTGGGGGGTTTGTTTTGTTTTTTAAGGAACATGATAATTATTTCAAGGCAGATTTCCATGAACTGGACAACACCAACTTTCGGAGGTGTGCAGGAATGCTGTATGAGAAAGAGCTATTTCTTTGTGGCTGAGGCTGACCTTTGAACCCCAAGCACGCTCCCTGGCCGGTGTTCATAGACTCATGGAAGGCTTTTTCTGAATGTAATTGTGAATCCGAAGCCTTGGTGTTCCTCTTTCGAATCGCCGGTTGGATGACTGCACGCAGAATCCCGTAGGTGAGAGCTGTTAAAGACGCGTGTTTTGTTTTAATGGCGTGTTAAGGAGCAAACTTCCACGGACTTAATGGCGGACAAGGTGCTGCTTTTTCTCATGACCCTGTAGAATTTCTATCGACCGCATCAACTGTAGCGTTGACCTGTATGAACACAGGGAAGGATCTGTGCATACAAATGAGTGGAAACAGAGCAGAATTCATGAATATGGATGAGGATGGGATCCTTTTCGAGAAGGCGCTGGGTACACGGGTCAATTGGAAATTTCATTTCTCTCAGAAAATAACCCTACCAGCGGCACACACCCCCTCCCCGTTCTCAGACCTGTGCGGATTCCTCCACGCTGGAACTGTGTCGTTGTGTCTTTTTGCATTGTAACTCGTCAAACCAGAAGTCCGTAAATGAAATGAGATTAGCACTTTTAGGTACCAAGTGTATGATTAAGTAATGCACACCAATAGATCAAGAAAGTATAAAATGTATTTAAGACCGACCGGTTTGCTTATTGTGACTGACTTTGAAAAAGCCCGTATCCAATGATATCCATGCTTTAAAAGGTGTATCTATCCTGGGACCGGAAATCAAAAATGGGAATTTTACTTCTGGTCCTGTTTTGTAAATAGTTCCTTTTTTTTTTTTTTTTTTGAAGACAATCTCATGTTTTATACCTTTTTCTGTAGGTCTGAGAATCACAATGGTAATGTGTTGTGTCAAAAATGTAATCTTAAATACGATAATTAGAACTCAATTTTCCAAATAAGACAAGGATTATACCGCTTTAGGCTTCTACGATTCTAAGAGACATGACACTTTTATAATAAGCATTAGTACTTAACTTCTCAAGTTAACA